CAATACAATGATGTGAACCAAGAGTAGGCACCTGTGTATCACAGCCATTCATATGCTCAGGTGGGTTATTACCTTTACTTTCAGTTACTATCTGCAACTCCAGTTATTCCTTTGCCCTTTCTGAAGTCATTCAGTGTCTCTCATTGCATTCCACCATTGAATGAGATAATCTCAAATTTTTTGATCATGCTTAGAGCCAAATTATAGTTAATCTTTAGTATTTAGTTGAAATTTACCTTCTACAAAATTATTCTTTTGAACCATACAACTATATGTATGTGTGCTATGTATATATAAATAACTGATATTTGTACAGTTGTCTATATTCTAAGGCATAGTTTTATTTATTAAATCATTTATTCACACAGTAACTTTGTCACCTAGGTTTCATCCCATTTATCAGATGAAAATCTTGAGATTCAGAAATGTGACATGTCCAAATTAAAAACCTAAGGAGTTAGTAGAGCAGAAATTTAAACCTTAGACTTCTGATTTTAAATCTTATTGTCTTTTATTAAAAAACCTTATGGGATCCATACAGCTAGCTCAAGATCAGGCCATCTACATCTACACTAATAAAAGAGTAAGATGCAGCCCTAACTGGTTTGGCTCAGTGGATGGAGCATCGGCCTGTAGACTGAAAGGTCCCAGGTTTGATTCTGGTCAAGGGCATGTACCTTGGTTGCAGGCACATCCCCAGTAGGTGGTGTGCAGGAGGCAGCTAATCAATGTTTCTCTTCCATTGATGTTTTTAACTCTGTATCCCTCTCCCTTCCTCTCTGTAAAAAATTAATAAAATATATATATATTTTTTAAAAAGAGTAGGATGCAAATTGACCATATTTTCCTGACATCCACCAGCCAGTCAGGAGTATGCAAATTAACCCAACAAAGATGGCATTCCATACTGCCCTAGCTGCTCCTGATTGGGAAGATGGAAAGGCTGCTCTGGGCTGGAGTGAAAAGGCAGCTCTAGCCAGAGGGAAGGTGGTGCTGGCAGCCAGGGGAAGGAAGGCCCATTCTCACACGAATCTTTGTGCATCAGGCCTCTATTATATATGCCTAAGTGACCAGTTGACCAGCCAACCAGCCAACCGGTTGGCTGATGAACATGCCACAGACTGATGAAGCTCACAGGGGAGTGTGCACCAGTGGGGTCCCTCAGTCTGGCCTGCACCTTGTCACAATCCAGGACCCTTTGGGGGATGTTGGAGAGCTGGTTTTGGCCTGATCCCTGCAAGCCAGGCTGAGGGACCCCACCAGTACACAATCTGTGCACCAGGCCTCTAGTTTTAAAATATTATAAAAGGTATCAAGATACCTTTTGGTCTAAAATCATTTAGTGACTGACTCTTTGGTTTTTGTTATTTTGAGAATGATGTGGTCTTTTTTTTCAAATATGCTGTTCACAGAGATGGGAATAATCATAGAGCCATTGTTTTAATGGGAATCTCATCTTCATCAAAGAGACAAATTTTCCTCAGTGGCATTTTATATTTGGGATAGATGTGTTGCATTAGTTCAGGCTACCTACTATTTAATTTATTGTATAATATTACAAATCCTGGAAATTATTTGCATGATAGCTAAATCTGTTAGTAGAAAATTGTCAGACCTGGAGCAATTACTTCTCTGTATTTTATTCTCATGGGGTACTTTTTATTTGAATTTTTAAAAATATCTTCCATCTTTTTGTATATTAGCTATGAGAAGGCAGGACATTTTTATTGTATGTTTTTTGTTTAAGAGAAGTATTAAAACTACAGTAATTATTTTAATCACAGAGACATATCAGTAAAATGGATTATATATAAAATAGTTTTAATTTTTAAAAAATGCTGAAGTGGAGCCCTACCCCATTTGGCTCAGTGGATAGAGTGTCAGCCTGGGGACTAAAAGATCCCTGGTTTGATTTAGGTCAAGAGCACCTACTATGGTTGCAGGCTCCTCCCCTGGTCCTAAGCCCTGGTTGGTGGGTGTAGGAGGCAACCAATCAATGTGTTTCTCTCACATTGCTACTTCACTCTGTCTCTCCCTCTCTTTTCCACCCTCCCCAAAAATCAATGGAAAAATATCCTCAGGTGAGGATTAACAAAAACAAACAAACAAACAAACAAACCATGAAATGGTGAAGTGGAGGTCAGAGAATGGAGACAGAGAAGGAACATATCAAGAAAGCATCTAGGAGGGCAGAGCTGGAAAGATTTTGATAAATTTTCTTGTACTGAACTTTGTGGCTTTCTTCATTCTTCATTTTCCCCCGAGTTATTTAGGGATCTGAGAAATAAGAAGATGGAAACAGAGGCCTTTTAATGAAAAGTGTCTGAGTGCTATAAGAAGCTGCTTTCCCACTTCCAAAATATAAAACAAGAAAGGAACAGGATAGAGGAAGGAGTGAGGAATAGCATAAAAAAACAGCAAAAAAGCGGAATGGTGATTTGTTAGGAGTGGACTCCAAGAGCTTAAATATAAAGCTGGCCCAGCCTGATCCAGAGGATCAAGGGATATCACAGGATTGTTTCTTAGCCTTTGTGCTTTGCTTCTCTACAAATATTAGCTTCATGCTCAGTGGCTTTTCTCTGCCTGACAGGGAGATGGCCGCTGGTATCTCTAAGCATGTATCCCTCAGCTCATAATCTAAAAGCAGACAGACTACTCCCTTAGCCAAATAGCAAATTTTAAGGGAGAATCTGATTGGCTCTGCTTGCATCAAATGCCTGCCCCTAAAATAATTACTGTATCCAGGGAGATTAATGACTCTGCTTGGGCCAGGGCAAGGTCAGATATCCAGCCCTGTGTGTGTTTGGGTTAGTGAGGCAGATGGGCTCAGACTCCTGGGACTTGCGTGCTATAGGTTCATTACAGAGAGCAGGGCTCTGTCTCTGAAGAAGGGGAGGGTAGGCTAGACAGGCCAAACCAACACGGTCCTCTACAGCTAACTTCAGAAGAATCAGAAAATAGAAATTGGTCACAGAGAATTTAAAATTAAACATAGATGTCATTGAAAATTAATTTGGTACACAAGTCAAGCAGGGTCACCATTTAGATAATAGGGTAAAAAAATTGAAGGCAATTGAAATATCATTTTTAAAAGACTATTAGTACCAAAGAGCTTATTATAATCATTCTTAGGAATGCTCTCTTTTTTAATCCAAGAAATCATGTGGGGGGGGGGGTGCAGGGGGGGAGGGGGAGTAAAAAAAAAGGGGAGTTAAAGTTTTCAAATTAGAATGCATGGAAAGCATTTTGAAATCTGTAATATACTCCTTCAACTTAAAAGTCAAAAGCACTTGATCCAGGTTCTTTTAAGCAGATTTTGAAAAGCAACTAGTTTCGTTCACCAGAGTAATTGCATGTTGTTTAGTGCCCTCCCCTCCTTTTCCCTCCCCTCTCCTCCCCTTCCCTTCCTTCCCCTTCAGCATGGAAGAGGCATGTTTAGCCCCTTCCATTTAATATTGTATAGGAACCTCAGCAGATCTTAAGCACGAGATTGCACTGAGGGAGGCTTTGTGAGCATCATAGATAGCACCACTAAACCTAAGAAGGTGATGACTCCATGGCCGTCTCCCACTTTTCTCTGCCCTCCTCTTGCTATAATGCATCTAGCATTCCTTCATTTCTTTAATAAAGGCACTCTGTATGCATAGTTCAACTAATCACCAAAGAACTGCTGCAGTGGCACTTTTCATTTTTCTCTCCCGTCTGCCAGAGGTCAGCTAAATCTTCATAAGCAGTATTATGGGCCATTGTGGGTTCTAGCCTAAAGCTGTGCTCATCTTCATTCCAGTCCATGACTGTCTCTTATGTGGAAGATTTGGTGTGTTCATAAAACATGAGCTATCATTTTGTTCTTTGCTCTGATAGTTCAGAGCTTTTTTGTTGTTGTTGTTTTGTTTTTTTCAGTTAATATGAAGCTTCCTTTTTAGAAATGTGACTTGAGAGAAGGAGGGAGAAACAGACTGAGATTGCCTTTGTTAAATATTGCAAGAACTTTTATTTGTAATGATACATTTTATGTCTTTATTTCATTTTTAAAAGGAATTTGGGGCTATTAATTTGTCTATTTTAATAGCAGAAAAGTGAAATATAGAAAGGGATATGCTAAGTAACAACTAAGGTCAAATAGCGAGTGGTAAATTTAAAGATGGATGGCCCTGTTTCTGCCACTTGATTTATAATGTTTAGTCTGCAGTGCTATGAGAATGAAGTTGCTGCATATTTCCCCCCCAAACAAACAATAAACAAAAAGCTATAAAATTTAGTATGTTCCATCTCTAATGAAATGTACCAGGGGTATTGTTAGACAGGGTATTTTTATGATAAAAATGTGGTATGATTGAAGGAAATACGAAATGGAATAGCCTTGCATATATCTGAGAGAAAATGATTTAAGTGGCCTTATAGATTTTCTTACACATTTTGGTACATTTCCCTTTAATTGATCCAGATGGATTATCCTCATGGCACATTCTTAATGTCATGTCCCCAGTGCTCCAAAGCAGAAATGCATCTTTGTTCAGATTTTCCTCAAGTTATCTGTGCAAAAATAAACCATACAAAGAGTCCTTGAGTGGGCTGTAGGATAAACAGATTATGGGGGCAAGAGAATTACCTTATGTGTGCAAATGAGACTGTGTGTGTGAAAGCAAGATAAGCTACAGGAAGGAAGTAGGCGACTCACATAAGGGATTTATTGGGATCTTTAAACCCCTTTTTACTGCACAGGTAAAGGGGGCTGAGATTTAAAACTGTTCAGCCTCGTGAAAAAATAAATAAAAATGAAACATAACATCCACTACAGTACAGAAACGAGTATTACAGAAAACTTTCTGCCTTTTTTTTTCCCCCCCCATGGGCTGTGATGTTTTCAGTAAAAAGCACGCTGAGGAGTAAGTCTAATAGAAGCTCTGGTGGAGAGAGAGACTTCATGAGAAATAGAGTCCACTATAATTTTATTCAGTTTTAAAATGTTGCAGGTCTGTGCTGGCTTTGGCAGCACGTATACTGAAATTGGAATGATACTGAAATTGGAACAATACAGAGAAGATTAGCATGGCCCTTGCACAGATATGACACGGAAAATGAGCAAATGAAAATAAAATAAAATGTCACAGGTCCTTCCTTCCTTTTTATTTTGATTTATTTTTAAAATTATTATTATTGAAAATATTACATAGGTCTCCCTTTCCCCCTCATTGATCTCCTCCAGCTTGCCTCCACACCCATGCCCCATACTATCATCACCCGATTGTCTATGTCCATGGGTGATGCATATGTGCATACAAATTCTCTTCTCCAGGCAATCCATCTTCCCCGTTTTGAATTGAAGTGTAGATATTGGTATATTTTATTAAAATGATTTTCTGGAGTGATAAAATCGTTTTTTGCCTAAACAAGGAGTGAAACAAGCTCTTTGTTATTTCAGTGTTATGCTGAGATGTTAGATGGTGCTGCACTCCAGGGCAGCACTGTCTTGGTGCTCCCATGCTCTGGTTCACAGCAAGCTTGGCACTTCCTGTGGTCACTGGTGTGCACATTGGTTCCCAAATTAGAATGTAAGGCCTAGAGGGAAGGACTAGTTTGTGTCTTGTGTCTTCCTTCCCCTAACACAGTGGTCTGCAAACTCATTAGTTAACAGAGCCAAATATCAACAGGACAACAATTGAAGTTTCTTTTGAGAGCCAAATTTTTTTAACTTAAACTTCTTCTAAGGCCACTTCCTCAAAATAGACCTTCCCAGCCCATGGCATTTTGTGGAGGAGCCACACTCAAGAGGCCAAAGAGCCACATGTGGCTCAAGAGCCACAGATTGCCGACCACAGCCCTAACATATCATCACCCAGGTTCCTAGAGAGTATTTGTTAAATAGATATTAATAATGAGGTGATTATTTTATAGTGAGGCTACCACCATTTTTAAAAAGTTGTAGACATATATCCTTGTAAAAAAGCCCACCTAAATCTTAAATCATGGAAACAAATATTTAAATATTTTCAAAACAGAGTTAAAAAAAAACAAAAACAACCTTAAATAATATTTATTAGAGATTTTAAAACAATTTGAGAAGTACTTCACACACCGTATGCTTCTATTTTAAAAATTGCTGGCTTTTCTATCTGGAAGTTTTCTTCATTTTATAATAAAAGTTTATTTATGTGGTGATTTACAAGACTGTTTCACTTTAGATGGGATTATTACAAAATACCCCCAAACACCCATATTAACTGGTTGGTCGCTGTTCCACCCTGTGGTGCTGAAAAGTCAGTCACTTATTTGGGAATAAGGGAATGAATGTCACCATAGCATTAATAAGGTTGAGTTTTCTTTTATTATTACTAAGGATAATCATTATAATAAAGTAAATCATATTTTATTGAGCACCTTACTATGTGTCAGGTATTTTCATCTGCGAATAGATGAAATAAAACAATCCCATTTTACAGGTGGGAAAACTGAGGGGCTGAGACAATTTAATATTTATCAAGCTTATATAGTGGGAGTTGGTAGAAGCAGGGTTTCACTCCAGCACCTCTGACTTCATGTCCTGAGTTCTTTTCACCCACTGATAATAGAAGTAGAGCATGAAAGGAAAACCCTCAGAGGGCTCCTCTTATGACCTCAGTCTTGCTTTATTCTCCTGAAAGGGCAGGTGATCATTACAGCTAAGTTTGACAATGATCTTTTCCCCTAACGAGTTTACTTAGACCAAGTCAGTTTTATGAGTCAAGGTTCCTGAGTAAGGTACAAAAATATATACACATATTTGCTATGATAAAAGGCATAAAAACTAGAATGATTATATATTTATATAAATAAATTGCTTGCTTGGTACTTGGATAATTTTGAAGAAATACTATGAACGTCTCCACCTTCATCCTCTAGTACACACACTTTGGAGATGGAGGGAGAAGGCAGAGCATGTTATGGCAGATAAAAGGTGTATGTATTAAATATCTGGAACTCAGGTTATTAAAAAAAAAGAATAAATAGAATATATGATACATAACATCAGCTACTTCTTCCTTGATTTTGATGGATCTTAAATTTTGACATACAGAATAACAACCATAGATTTTTGTTTAAATTCCAGATTGATATGACAGATTATTTGATTTTAATAATTCCTGCAGTAAGTTCTCTTTCTTGTGTGTGTTTAGTTTGACTTCTTTTGTCAGTTTCCAGTGAAGATAGCACTCAACCGCTGCTGCATGCAGCCTTTTGTTGTACTGTGGTGTACATTCCAAGTGACTGACAATGATTAAACATAAGATGAAACTTGAATGACACTATCTCAAAATCTACTTAAAGCCATGACAGATATCTGTTTGAAGCAATAGATCCTTTTTGAGCACACAAAGAATAAGAAATTGTGACTTTTTTGTGAATGCATTTCCTTTTCTTTGAAATCAAATGGCAAAACTACCCATTTGTTCTGTATCACCAGAACAGTGATATGAATTTCTAAACAGGGTAGGCAATACAAATACACAGCTAATTATACTTGAACTTGAAATATGACAGTGTGTACCACACCTATTTTATACCAGTTGTAATTTTCCCATTTCTATACAGATACTATAGTGACTTAAAAAAAAAAAAGAATGCATAACTGTAATTAAAAAGCGAGCAGTCAAGATGGTGAAGACGCAAAGAATTAATTGGGATTATGCCTCTCCTTTCTGCATCGATGCGGAAGCTTGGTGATCTGAATTGTCTTGGGCTGTGAGCTAGGACTCCCTCCAACCCCCAAGGCTCTTTAACATTTGTTATTACTTAGCTATTTTATTTGGCAGGCATCCCTTCCATCTCATCTTCTAATGCACTGGCAAGGCTCCTATTGCCAATAGCTTAGAGTCTACTACTGCTAGGGTAAGCGGCATAGCCGAACATTCTAGCCTCTGCATCCTTCTAAATAATGCATCTGGTTTCCTGTAACTACATGAACCCTTAGACTTTGGTAGGCATGTCTTTGTTAGTCAGAGGAAAAAGAGTTGGGAGATGAACGATTAGGGAAATAGTTGTAGGCAGTTATTATCACTGATTAGGACCTGACTCCGTCATATATGCATTAATCACTGGGTTAATGCTAATGGAATGCTTATGATATTTGGGGTAGACATAAACAAGATATATAAAAAGAATATCTTTGCTGACTGAACTGCATGCTTAATTCAACATGGAAAAATGATCATCATGTTAAACTAGGATCTTTTGAATCTCTATTGTCCATAATTAGATCTAGTTTACTCCTTATTTTTAAAATGTCTTTTAGTTTGCACGGAGTTTATTGACTTTTTGGGAGTGTGCACACTTTTCCTTAGAACAATGGTGGGATATGAGTTAAATACCTAACACCCCGGGGAGATTGATGGCATGAAAGCCATCACTGGGCAGTCACATTATGACAGTGTTTGATATGAAAATTATGTCGTAAGGATAAAAAATTCAAATTGATTTAGATGTTGAATGAGAAGCAGGTTACTAGACCCTTTCATACTTTCATCAAATTTAATTGAAAGAAGGAAAAATCATGTTTCTAACTGGACAAGCAATGTTAATTCTGATTATTTTATTATGGATTTCTTTTAATTACCATCAACAGCACATTTCATGTATTTATGAAGATTGTGGCTTTTAACTTAAATTGTAAAACTTAAAAACATCTTTAGCTTTTACCATGTCAGTGATTTTGCAGATACAAAGTAGTTACCAAACGAATTCTGTCAAATAACTAATCCTTATTTCTTTGACTCATGTTGAACTTCTTCATTGATTAAACTAGTTTCTATAAGCAACCAATTATAAATTAAATCATCAGGTCTATATTTGTATGTATGTAATATAATTTTTTCTTTTGATTTTGACCACAATGTATTTTTTGTTTGTTTGTTTTGAAAGGTCAAAATGTCTGTGAAATTAAAACATTTCCTTAACAATTCAGGAAATTTGATTAACTATACTTTAAAATTGCATTGGCATCACCGACAAAAAAGAAGTCTTCAATTCACTATAAAGATAACACTGAAATACATTAATATTTGATTTGATTTATTTATTTTAACCTCCCCAACAAAGGCAATCAAACCAATAACTTTTTAAGAAAATAAACCAACTGTCAAATTACTACGCTAGCCTTGTCTGTTTTAGTGAGTTTTGTTTTGATGGTTACTGAGGATGGAAATAGATGGAATTTGTTTTATGCTTCTGGCTGTCCAACATTTCCAGAGGCCTCTAGACTAGGCATGGTCCCTCTGGAACTGAATCTCTGCATTCTTCTTCTATCACTAGTCAAAACAAAACACTATCAGAGGAAAACATTTTCATAACTGGATCCCGAGTGAAGGAAAAATCTCAGACACTTAGACATGCATATACAATAAACAGTGTTTTCTGACAGGCTCATTTTTTAAAGTCACTCCACAGTATGTCTTCCACATAAACAAAATTAATTATAAGACTATGGGCTCTCACTTTGAAAGAATTTGCATTTGTGCCAGACTGGCATTAGGAAAACTAAGTCCTCCATTAGAATTTGTAACCATGGAAGCAAGGACTCACTGTAGTATCTCTCTTTTTCTCTGCCTTGTTTTGGCCTGGTACTTAATAGATTCTTATTGAATAATTATTGAATGAATGAATGAATGAGTAAAGTTACCAAAGGAAGCATGGAGAAGATAAACTAAAACTGATGTGGAAAAATTGAGAATTAAGTCATATGTTTTAAAAAACTACATGGGAAATAAGTGACAGACAAAACATTAACTCATCAATGGCCAGACTTCTCTTTCCATTATAATTTTTAACTTGCTCTAATTTACAGTGTTTCCAGATATTGATTTAATTTATCTAAAAAATTTGAAAAGAAATTAAATTTTTCCACTCAACTCTGGGTTTAGGGCATGTCTTTCCTCCTCATCTTGTTCATAGTAGGATAAATCTACAGCAGAAAGACATCATACTGTGTAGTAACTTCAAGTTTTTTGATTCATGTACTTACTGTCAACATCATTAAATGGGTTGGTTTTTATCATGGCCAGAGGTAAGCCTCACATCATAATGAAGTGGGCCATCTATTGTTAGAGATTAAATTCTAGTGTTGCAAGA